TGCGAAGCAACCTGAGCAGAGATCTGAGTGACCCCACCAGCCTTCGCGTCAACGACAGGCTGAGACGGGACGTGTGCGTTTCCCGGGGCTGATACAGCGGGGAGTTGGTGCTGCCTGCGCGCCGACACCGCTGACACGACACCACCACCGACGAGTGCGCCGACAGCGAAGGCAGCCGCGTGCACGATGGTCGCACTAGGCATTCTCAGGGGAGCCAGCTTGAGATGTACGGATACGCTGAAGCGTAAAACAGTAGGGATAGACCAAGTACTGTCCAGGCTATGGTCACGGTCTGTACCAGTTGTGTCGACCCGGATCCTGGTGGCGTAGCCTAGAAAATTGGCAGCAGGCTAGTTTCCCGTAGGCAGACCTGAACACGACCTTGTTGTTGAATGGGGGAGGGTGGTCGACGTGTAGACAGTAGCAGCAGGCACTGAGGCAGTCGCCGACGCGTACAGTGTACACGTGCGTGGCGGCCGTAAACTCAACTCAGGACAATCTCAATGGCCCTGGGCTCGGCACAGATTCTAGCAAAGACCCTCGGTCGCCATTGAAAGTATACGCATCAGTGGGAATATGATTTCTTGAGTCGGCATGAGTTGAATAGCGTCGACTGCACAGTGCAAGATCTCCAGCGTCCACCGCAACAAGCGCCCAACTACTGACGCTTGCTTAGGCGCCATCGTTATACGAGGCTGTATTTGCATCCCCAAGAAATATGAAGCCATCATCAACTCCTGAGTTACAGTAGGTAGAGCATGCTCTTCCCCTGGAAATAACAGAGTTCATTTGTTCCACGATGCAGGTTCGGCGCGGGAGTGTACTTACTATGAGTACGTCGGGCGCTCACGTGCTCACGACGCCACCCAATTTCGGTCGGCGCTTCAAATGGCGCGCGCGTCGCAGAGTAGAACGGACATTGCAGCGTGCTCACCGTCCAGGACGGCGTCGGTGCATCGTGCACCTCGATTCTCTTCTCTGCTCCTTCTCTCATCTTCAAAACGGCTTCCAGCAGTGGCGGTGTCGGGCGCCGCTCGACCGAGGCTTCGACTCGCGTCCGCACTCCAGCCATGGACAATTCTGCCAATCCTCCCAACATCCACACCATCGTCAAGGCCCAGATCGTCTTTCTACTGTCGACTTTGACGGAGGAGAATTTCGAGAGGAACCAGCAGGAGATACGCTCCGTGAGTGCACTTGCAGACTCTGCTCAGCTTTCGGTGTTGATGGGTTCTCGGCTTCCCTGCGACGCGTTACATTGTCCAGCTCTCCGAGCAGCACGGTGTCGACACGTACTTGCATTTCATCCGCCGTCTCATCGTCCACTCTACCAGCCGACTCACCAATGCGCCCACTCCGACCCCCTTCGACAATTCGACCGCCCTCACATTCCGCCTCCTCGCGCAGGAAACCCAACGCCTTGCACGCGACCCCACCCTTGCTGACCGCTTCCGAGATGGCATAGATAAGGGCGAAGGGGACGTCTTCCGTGCGTTCGATCTGGCACGGTTCGTAGACCGCGTCGGTCTGCAGCCACTCGAGAGACTCGTGCTCGTGTCCTCGATCGTCGCAGGACAAACGCGCAGGGACCTCGCGGTGCAAGCAGCCAACATCATTCGCACGGACTTTGAGGACGCTGTGATGGCTATATGCCAGCATCCGTCTTTCGACCACGCCGACCTGTCTCCCGGCCAGCTTGCGAAGCTGTTGACGAACCTGCTGTCGGAGCCTCCAATAGACGCCCCGGTATTGGACGCGGTGCAACGACAGGCTCTCATAACCGCTGCCATGGCCAAGTACGGCTCAGAGACCGTTTGTCCCATGTTGCAGCGCATTTTCCCGGAGCTCAGGTATGATACTCTGCCTGCGTGCCGTTTACGTTGCGTTGAATGGCTCATGTCTTGGTGTGCAGTTTGCCGGCCGGCACTACCCTGGTGCAGGCGTTAGTGCAGTTGGGCGCCGAGATCACCGCGGATCCTGCTGTCGTCCGTGCGCTGTTGGTGCGCTTCAACATCTCCACCGCGAACCCGCCGCAGAATGCGCAAGTGGTAGAGTGGATGCAGAGTGTCGCCCGTCTGGCGTCGGAAGGAACGGTGCTCCCAGACGTGGGTTCATTCGTCAAGGCGCTCGATAGCTTTGTAAGTCCGAACTGAACGGTATGTCGTTATTGGCTGCTGATCGTCCGCTAGGATGTCGTTCTTGACTGGGCAGGGGTGATCAAAGGGTTTGACATGCCTGACCGTCAGGGCGTGGACACGGCGACGTTGAAGTTGTTGATCGCCATCCTTCAGAACTCGCCTCGAGAAGCCGATCCGCACGCCGTCACTGGCTTCTGGCAGACTTGGTTGAACCCTTTGTACCAGTTGCGCTTGCTCGACGCGCTTCTGTCCCTTCCCGCAGACACGTTCAACTTTGTCACTTTGCCTGGGCACAGGATTGTAACGGTCGACGACGTCGCCAATGCCAGTCCGACCATCAAGTCTCTGGCTGCCAATGTGCAGGGGCATACCTGGAACTCGCTCGACCTGTTTGAAGTTCTTGTGAGGTTGTCAGACTCGGACTCTGCGGACGTGAGGAACTTTGTCAGAGAGATGCTGGACAAAGCCGTCAAAATCAGCGCGGAGCTGGTGCATATGGGTCTTCTACAGGCTCCGGTACGTCATCACCACTCCTCCGTGTTGACAATGGAGCTAACTATAGAGTTAGAACGCCAACTGGGGCGAGATCCGGGTGGACTATACTCAGCGGCTATTGGCGCTTTTCCTTGCCGGACATCCGAACCACCAGCTGGTGTTCATGAGAATCTGGCAGATCGAGCCGACGTACCTCACGAATGCGTTCCGGGACTTTTACGAAGAGAGCCCGCTCAATATCACAAGGATACTTGACGTCGCCCAGGACCTCAAGGTGCGTTGTCGCATCGCCCATTAGACTGAAACAACGACGCTGACGTCACCCAGATACTGGATTCGCTCCTCGAGGTCCGGCCTTTCACCTTTGCGCTCGATGTTGCTGCCCTCGCCTCCCGTCGAGAATACCTCAACCTCGACAAGTGGCTCGCCGACAATGTCACCAATCATGGCGCCGAGTTCCTTCACGCTGTGATCGCCTTCCTTGACATCAAGATGGAGAGCGAGAAGGCGACGCGTATCTCGGACCCCGCTGTCGATCACCGCACAATGCCCCTCAGTCCGCAGACTATCACAATCTTCCTCCGTGTTCTGCGAAACAGCTCCAACATCATGCGCGAGAGTGACGTCGACTATTGCCTCGACGTCCGCAACGCGTGTCTCCAGATTCACCCGCGGCTCATGAATCTTGTTCCGGGGTCCGACGCAGAGCCAGGCATCTCGGTGGTCAGCTATTCTGCGGAGATCGAGGCTGAGGTCGACGGGATCTACAAGCAGATGTACGACGAGCAGATCAGCATCGACGACGTAATCGCGCTGTTGCAGAGGAACAAGGAGTCGACGAATGGGCGCGACCACGAGATCTTCTCATGTATGCTCCACTTCCTCTTCGACGAGTACAAGTTCTTCCAGTCGTTTTACCCGCCGCGCGAGCTCGCCATGACGGGCTACCTCTTCGGCTCCCTTATCCAGTACCAACTCGTGGACTACATCCCTCTCGGCATCGCCATTCGCTACGTAGTGGACGCGCTAAACTGTGCTCCTGAGACGAATCTCTTCAAGTTCGGTATCCAAGCTTTGTCGAGGTTCGAGTCCCGATTGGCAGAGTGGCAGCCGCTCTGCCAGGCGCTCCTCAAGATCCCACATCTGTTGGAGGCGAGGCCGGACCTGGCCGCGGCCATACATCGTGCCATTGCCAATGCGGGCGAACACTCGAGCAGCATTGATCTGCGACTCGGGACAGGACCTGCCGTGGAGCCTCCGCCTGTCTTTAACGCTATCCAGCCCGACCCAGTTGAAGAAGAGCTAGATCATCCGACGGAAGAGGTATCCGACAGGATTCTCTTCATCGTCAACAACCTGGCGCCGTCGAACTTCGATTCAAAGCTGTTGGAGATGCAGGACCACTTTAGGGAGCCATTTTCGTGGTGGTTCGCAAACTACCTCGTCGACCAGCGTGTGAGCACGGAGCCAAACAACCACCAGCTCTATCTACGCTTCCTAGACGCGTTGGACGCTCCGCTGTTGTTCCGCTTCGTTCTCAACGAGACGTTCGTCAAGTCCGCTGCGATGCTGAACTCGGAGAAGACGCTGAACTCGAGCTCTGAGAGAGCTATCTTGAAAAATGTGGGGAGCTGGCTTGGGAAGATCACGCTCGCCCGCGACCGTCCTATCAAACACAAGAACTTGTCGTTCAAAGACCTGTTAATCGAGGGCTACGAACATGGCAGGCTCACAGTTGCCATCCCGTTCGTCTGCAAGACCTTGGAGCCGTGTGCGGCTTCGAAGGTGTTCAAGCCACCTAACCCGTGGTTAATGGCCGTTATCAGCCTTCTCGCCGAGTTGTACCACTTCGCTGAGCTGAAGTCGATTCTCAAGTTCGAGATCGAGCTGCTATGCAAGGCATTGGACATCGACCTCGACGCAGTGCAGGCGACTACCATTTTGCGGAACCGACCGTTGGCGGACACCTTGACAGGCTCCGGGTTGCCGAACTACGTGGGGATCGACTCCCTGCCGATGGGCGACTACGGGGGCTTGCAAGGCAGTGAATCGCAGATGGCTTTGCTCGGACCGACGAGTCCTTCTGAGTCGCAGCGCGCCCTGGGAGCGCACATCGAGAATATCTTGTCGAGCCTCTTGCCGCTTGTGCAGATCAGTCCTCACCTCCAGCCCCTGAATACCAACCAATCGTTCAAGCGAGCTGTGCAAATGGCAGTTGATCGTGCAGTGCGAGAGGTAAGAATGCGCCCCTTCTCACGTTATGGGCCGATATTGATAAGAAAGAAACTGCAGATCATCTTGCCCGTCGTTGAGCGCTCTGTCACCATCGCCGGCATCTCGACACGGGAACTCGTAGCCAAGGATTTTGCGACTGAGTCCAATGAGGAGAAGATGCGCAAAGCTGGTCACTTGATGGCGCAGAAGCTTGCGGGTAGTCTGGCTTTAGTAACCTGCAAGGAACCGCTGAAGACGAACCTGACCTCTCACATCCGCAACTTCTTGAACGAATTTGGCTTCACCGAGCAGGTTGTGCCTGAACAGGCGGTTAGTCTGCTGGTCGCAGATAACATTGACCTAGCATGCCAGGCCATCGAAAAGGCCGCTATGGATCGCGCTGTCATCGACGTCGATGACGGCTTTGCCGCAGCGTATGAAGCTCGCCGACGTCACCGCGAACAGCGACCTGGCCAAGCTTTCTGGGATCCTACTGCGCCTCAATCACAGCTCGCCTCTACACTGCCAGAGCCGTTGCGCATTAAGCCGTCGGGTGTGCAACCTCTGCAGGCCGGGGTGTACGAAGACTTCGGTAACATGGACGGGATCATGTCACAACTATTCGCGCATAGCTCCCCGGGATCCGACGGCAAGAGGCGGGCGTTCACAAGCAGACCAAGCTCTACGGTGTCATACCCGCGCAACGACCATATGTCGGCGGCGTATCCAGCATCGCCGTTGCCAGTAGTTGGCGCAGGTCAGATCACGCGTCACCAAGATGCGATGGACCGGTTCAACCTTCTCGTAAAAGACCTCGAAGCACTCATGCTGCAGCTACCCATCCCGTCTCTGTCTGCCCTGCCACCCAACCACGAAAGCCGGGGGCTCGTTCGTCAAATCTTGATCCTTGCTGCTGAAACCACAGATCGTCAGCGCACGCCCCTCCTCATGTCCCAGAAGATCGTTCAATTCCTCTACAAGACGCCGACTCCGCTTGGTCGGGAGATCTACGTTACTCTTTTGGAGCAGCTGTGCAACTCTTTCGAGGAGGTCGCGAAGGAAGCAATAACCTGGCTCATCTACGCTGACGACGAGCGCAAATACAACGTCCCCGTCATGACTACCTTACTGCGCAGTGGACTTGTCCCGATCGTGCAGCAAGATCAGCAACTGGCGAAAACCGTCTACACTGATCCTCGCCCTAGCCTACTGGACTTTGCCGCAGAGCTCATACGTGAGTGCTTGTCAAGCGATCCTCCATTTGCATCCCAGGCCCAGTTCGCCTACACTCTGGAGGTCCTCAACCAATTGTCGCAGTCTAACAAGGCTACCGATGAGTGAGACCATATCTACCCTTCACCTGATTGTCATTGACATAGTGGACCGTAGGGTACACAGGCTTCTAGATGACCTCCGTGGCGTGCGAAGGCCGTCCCTTCAACAGCCTATCGGCGAAATTCCTATCGCTCGGCCGCCGTCTGTAAAGCCCGAAACCGAACAGCTGAGGGAGAAACTGTTTTCGTGGTTCCAGCAATGGGTGTCCATTTTCCAGCGGTCACATTCGCCGGAGAAGGCCTTTGTGCCGTTCATCACGCAGCTGACGAAGCAGAACATCCTGAAAGCAGAAGATGTCTCGTCATTCTTCTTCCGCGTCTGCGCGGAGTCGAGCGTGAACAGCTACATCAAGTGCATTCATGCCGGAGAGTTCACCTACGCTTTCCAAGCACTCGATGCTATGTCGAGGCTGATTGTGTACATCATCAAGTATCACGGTGATGCCTCGGGAGTCAACAATGACCAGGCGAAGGTGCATTACCTGACGAAGATCCTCTCGATTTTCGTGCTTGTTTTGGCGAATATGCACGAAGAGCAAGGGGCTCTATTCGAGCAGAAGCCGTTCTTCCGCTTTTTCTGCAGCTTGTTGAACGACTTGCACACCATCGAGTCAGGCCTCGGTACAGCGTACTTCCAACTGCTGGTTGCCATCAGGTATGTTCTATCAACTCTGATGTCTGTGATATGTTATTAACGGTGCGTTCTAGCGATACCTTCAGCTCATTGCAACCGACGTACTTCCCGGGCTTTGCCTTCTCCTGGATGAGTTTGATCTCTCACCGGCTCTTCATGCCCAAACTCTTGTTGTCGGAGAACCGCGCTGTAAGCTCATCCCAAAACGTTCTTCTTCGTGGCCCTGACTCTTTCGATATACAGGGATGGTCGGCCTTCTATAAGCTGCTCGTCTCGCTCTTCAAATTCCTGTCACCCTTCTTGAAAGCGGCTGATCTGCAGCCGGCCTCGAGAGACCTCTATCGCGGCTCCCTTCGGCTCCTCCTTGTGCTCCTTCACGACTTCCCGGAGTTCCTCAGCGAATACTATTTCTCCCTCTGTGATGTGATACCCCCGCGGTGCATTCAGCTGCGCAACGTCATCTTGAGCGCTTTCCCCCCTACCATCGTGCTACCCGACCCTCACCTCCACAACGTGGAGTTCGACTCTATCCCGGAGATGGGTCCCATTCCGCCCATCCTGTCCGACTTCGCCTCCGGTCTCAAAGCGGGTGACTTGCGGCTGTACCTCGATCAGTACCTCCTCAACCGTGGCACGCCTTCGTTTTTGCCTTCCCTCAAGGACCGCCTGCGGCTGTCTGCTGCGTCGGAAGCATCGATGGAGACGTACAATCTATCTCTGATCAACTCCCTCGTGATGTACATCGGCGTGTCGTCGGTCGCTCAGGCTAAAGCACGGAGTGGTAGCTCGCTTTTCGTTGCTAGCGACCCTGGTGTTGTCGCTTTGCTGTTCCTTGCGAATGATCTGGATGCCGAAGGTAAGTAATGAAAGCGCGCTCGTCTCTCAATGATTTCTCATATCGTCCGTAGGCCAGCATCACCTTCTCAGTGCAATGGTGTTGCACTTGCGCTACCCCAACGCACACACTCATTGGTTCAGCTCGCTCATGCTCCACCTGTTCGTGGAAGTCAAGAGTAATCAGTTCAGAGAGATCATGACGAAGGTCTTGTTGGAGCGCTTCTTGGTGCATCGCCCGCACCCGTGGGGTGCCTTGGTCACCTTCATCGAGCTACTTCTGAACACGAAGTATGACTTCTGGAACCAAGAGTTCATCCGTGTCGCTCCCGAAGTCACGCTACTTCTTGAGACTGTATGTGCTCAGTTCTCGGTGCAATGGCAGACGCTGGTCTAACCAGGGCTTGATAGGTTGCGCGATCCATTTTCCAGTCGTAGATCGTCCTGCTATCGCCCTCGCTATCTGTGATATTTACTCTCGTCCCCTCGTGTCCCCTCTCCTCTCCGGGCTTGTCATCATTGCGCACTGTATTGTACCAAGACTTTCCATCCCAGTGTTACAAAAGGCATTCGCGACGACTCGAACTTTGCTTAGGGTCGGGCTGGCCGCGTCACGGAATTCACGCACTACTGATGATGATGATTACGATAAATGTGTTCTGTATATTCCATCTCGATGTATCACGTACACCTACGGCTTTTATAATTTAGAACGAGGACATTCCTTTATTCCAGCTCCAGGTGTTTGTCCATACGCTGAATTGAACTCATTCAGCCGCGTTCAAGATGTAGTGCTGCATAAGTAGTTATGTTCTCAGTTCTGCGATCACAATCCTTCGTGTTCGAATTCGTCGATGTCAAGTCGATGTCGTAGTATGTGTTTGCCCATGTCAAGTATCCTGACTGCCTCGCTCTACTAGAACTCACACCCCGTAACTGGGTGTAGTACTATTGCGAGACGTCCAGGATACCGTCGTGACATCACTATCGCCCGACAACATCATCCGGTGTTATTTAAGCAGGTGAGAAGCTCATCGGTGTGTTGTACAACTGCCAGGATCTCGCCGAGGATCCCATCGCAGGGGACCCATCCAGCCAACGCATGAGTCACGACGTGGCCAAATTCAAGATTTGGAACGAGGGCGTCGGAGGTCGGGACAGAGGTGAGTGACAGTCTTGCAGCGCATGCATGCGTCTCCGATGCTGTGGGTGCTAGCGTCGGCTTGGGTGCCATGTCTCTGTCGTGTTCACCCGCTGCTCGATTCGGAAAGAGGAATGCACCGCGAAGTCTCATACGATACATAAGAGACCGGGCATCGGGCCCATCGAAGCTGCCAGTGGGTACCCCATCCGCCGGTCCGCTCACTTCGTTTGCTCTTCACTACTGAGTACTGAGTCCTCATTGCGCCTTCTGCCGCCCGACTTGCCCCTTCACCCCGCCTCACGCTTGTCGATCCATTTCTGCCTAGCCGCAGTATGCATGTATCATTCGCTACATCCGCTTACCTTGTTCTCGTCCTTGTCATTGCCATTTTAGCCTCAATAATGCCAGCATCTGCTGCCCTGTCATCAGACCTGAGGGTGACCAGAGCGTCGTGAGCATACACAATTACATCTCTTAAATTACAAATTGGCACAAGCCGCCCGGTAGCATAGCGCCAGTGCTTGCAGCCATCGGCAACGTCCTCCGGACATGACATACTGTACGCATCTGACAAGTACAATGTTCATGCATCGGGGCGCACGATGTACGGTGTTGCACCGTTAACCGTCAGTAACGGAACAGACGACCGGCACTATGTCAGTCAACGCGAGTGCACCCGAACATCAAACCGAATCGAGCAGTGCTTGACTCACGAACTATATAAATACACATGCGACTACAGTCCGTCCTCCCCGCTCAGCCCCGATACACCCTGAACAAGACGAACGTGCAGAACGCCAGCAGGGCGGCGAACACGTAGAACACCCTGCCCTCCTTGTCCTCGTCGCCCTGCGAGAGCGCGTTGCGCAGGGGCAGGAAGACGAGCCCGACGAGGAAGTTCGCGATCCCTGAGGTACCGGTCAGCGCGCACGATGGGACAGGCGAAGATACGGCAGGGACGTACAGTTGAGCGATAGCCCGACGGAGGAGAGCGCGGAGACGGCCTAGGAGTGGTGGAGGATGATCAGTTGGGGTAACGCTGAGTGCCGTCGGACTGCTTACATGGCTTGGCGAGACCTCTGGGATCATCACGAATGGCACGGGCCCGATACCAACAGCAAACGACCTATGTCACGCGTCAGAATTGACGGGGAACCCTATGCAGTACACAGAAGGCGATAGAGACTTACGCGACGAAAGAGATGATTGTGACGCTCGCGAGGGCGACGAGGCTCGAATTGAGCCCGAAGCCGACACCGAGCAGGGAGAGGATCGCGCCTCCGGCGGAGACAGACAAGAGCTGTTTCCTGCCAACGCGCTGGGACAGCCTGCCAGTGAGAGATGGCGCGCTTTAGGAGGAAAAACGAGGACTTACGTCGATGAGAATGATCGGCGCAAACGTCATCAGGAAGTTGACGACGGTAATCCCGACCGAGATCCACGGGCCCCAGTCCGGCAGAGCTTTCGAAAGAATGTCGTTGCTGTAGTACAGGACTAACAGGTAGCCCCGCGTGACTTAGCTCTCAGCGGCGAGCGAACCGGTCAGAATCGTACCTGCATTGACACCTGCAAGCAATGTCAGCATAAACAGTAATGTCAGGATGCGCAAAATGAAGCGTACCGGAAAGCTGTTGTACGAGCATCGAGAAGCAGACGATGGTGAGGGGCCGGCGCAAGCTGGGCGCCATCAGCAGCTCAGGCACCGTAATGGCCTCCTCTTGGTCGTTACGTTCGGGAACCTCGACGACAGGCACGGGTGTGCCAGTATCGTCCTCGACCGCCTCCACGTCGGTGCTCAACAGAGGATCCTGACTGTCGTAATTTGGTGCTGTTCATATAGTGGTTAGCTCAGTGCGTCCCGTGAAGAAACGCGAAGACATTGACTGTCGGTGCTTCGCGTGATTTGTCCGCTCTTCCATATTCTCTTCGCCGCCTTGTCTTTATCGACGAGTAGCCCATTCCGGTCGAGCCACGTCGGAGACTCGATCATCCCCCCGCTCACAACGAACTGCACCGCTGCGAGCGCCGCAGAGAAGAAGAGCACCGTGCGCCAGCGAGTGGGAGTTGCGAGCTGGAGGCCCATGATTTGGGTGATCATGATGCCGACGACGATGGCAAATTGGGTCAGGACGCCTGTGAGACAGTCGCATGAGCATTGCAAGGCGGACGTGGTGGTAGGACGCACCCACTGCTCCCCGCTTCTTGGGAGGAGCCAATTCAGAGAGGTAGATGGGACCGACACAGAGACCAATACCAGCACCGACGCCGGTCAATGTCCTGTCGCATGTTGAGCATCTTCACTCTCGGTTTCTGTGCCTTGTCGTTCCACGTACCTTCCAAGAATCAATGGCGCCAGCCCTGCAGACACACCCATCAAGGCCGCACCCAGTCCGGTTGCGATCGCGCTGACACGCACCGCACCTCTGCGACCCCAGCGGTCCATAACGAGGTTCGCGCCCAAGCTCCCGAGGAGCCCGCCGACGGTGTAAACGGAAGTGACCACGGAGAAGGTCGCGTCAGTCATGGGGATGCAAGTGGGCATACCCATGTGCGTGGCAGGGCTCGTCTCGTCGAGCGCACGGCATGTGAGGACTGCTTGTATTTGGTTGAGGGAGGATATGTGGAAGCCATACTATGGAACGCGTTATGTTGCTGCGCCATTACTGCGGCTGATGATCCTTACCTAGCGAAGCACGGTCGCAACAATGCAAGGGTAGCTACTGACTCAACACTCACCTGGAAAGATACTATAAGGACCCATATGCATGCTACCCAGCCGTATGTGGTGAATGCCTGGGGTTCGTGGACGCTGAGAGACATGGCCGAGCCTGAGGATGACGATTCTAAAGCTAAGCTTGAAGCGAAACAACAAAGGACGTTAATCAGGCCTTCCAAATGTTTAGGTAGACCTTTTCCATCAGCAAGAACGACTTGCGCAGCCGAGGATGAGGAGGAGGAGGAGGCTGCGGCGTGAGACGCGCCTCAGAGTGTCTGACGCCGACGCGTGGTAGCGCGTAGTCTAGCGTCACATGATGCTCCGCGGGCTGCAGGCAAGACAAGGATCCGTTGCATGTCATTCCGTGCCAACTACTGCAAATGTCCCCTTCGGGGTGACATACGAAAAAATTGGAACGATACAGAGAAGATTAGCATGGCCCCTGCACAAGGATGACACGCTTTCCCGGAGTGGTAGACCTACGGGTCTCAATATTTATTTTGGTCGCGGCTCAGCCCAACGTCGACGTCTCCACCACTTGTCTCGTTGCAGCCGGCGGTGTCATGCCTACTCTGATTATCTTTTGGAGCCCGCCTGCCTGTCAGACAAGGATATCCTGAGGCACGAAGGTTGAAGGAATTGTCTACGTCTGCTTGGGGAGACTAATTATGAGCCGCGTACGTCGGGGGGGTCGCCTGAGGTCGCAGTGGTCGCGTCAAACCTTTTGAAAACAGCGCCCAACCCTGTCCCAGCCCAATCTCAGCCTCCTTCCTCAACTCATGTCCTCACTGCCATCTCAACTTGCGGAGACTAGGGCCAACGACGTGAACCCCTTTTTGAGCGCGTAATAACTGAGCTTATCACCGAGCCCGACCGTCATGGCGGTGGACACGCTGAAGGCGGAGTCTTCAGCCGACTCACAACGTCCAGATCCTCATAAATTTACCAAGCTATCCGAAATCCTCTCGTGTCTATCTTCGCTGCAGTCAGAGGAGGCCGAACTCTCCTCTTCGCTCGCAGAGCTACTTGCATCTCAGGAGCCGGTCATAAATTCCCTCGCACGCCTCCAGTCACTCGGTCCAACATTGAATGAGCTGCATGCAGAAGCCTCTGTATTCGACCAGACTGTTTCGCGCACAGCAAAGACCGCCGATGAGGTCGGTGGTTTCGTGCGGACCTTGGACGAGGAGATGCGGAGGGTACGAGAAGCTGCTGAGCGCGTCGGGCAGGTTATGGAGCTGAAGGTCAATTGCATTGCATCTTCGCATATACATAGTGCTGAGCCAGTTGTGCAGAATTCCCTGGGCGCACTCCGGTCAGCGATGGAAGCGAAGGACTGGGAGTCTGCGACCCGACATTGCTCGCGCGCGATGTCTCTCCCCACCGAGGTCATCTCGGGCATGTTTGCAGAGACAGCCGTCGTACGTCCCTTTCCATCGGCGCCGTCGCCAGCCTCTCATAGACTGAGTTCAGCCCACGCCAGAAAGCCATCTGCCTCCGGCGCAGACATTGCACGCCGCGCGCGAGGAGCTGCTAGCGATCTTCCGCCGCGAATTCGACAAGGCGAGCGAGTCGCGC